GTCCTGAGAAGTTCAAAATGGAAGGAAGGAAAACTGTTGAGCTTTGAAAATTGAAAATTTAAGCCATTTCCAAAGTAACCCACTCCGCAACCAGCTCACGTCGCAGCGAAACCAACGCTTTCTCCCCGAATCTAGAGTCCCAGGTTTGCTTCCTCAATCTTAATTTCATTTTTCTGTCTTGGAAAATCTTATATTCATCCTGTTTTTGCAGTACCCTTTTAGGATTTGTTTTAAATTTCCGTATCTGATTTTCATGTAATTGAATCATTTTTAGCTCAGTTATACCACCATTTACCTTGGTTTTTGTGAAGATTTGGGTTTAGAAGTTTGATTTGTGTTCCTTTTATGAGTATTTAGTAAAATTTCCCAGGATTCAGGGAATTCGATTTTTCAGTTCCATTTCCCTCTTGATATGTTAAAAATGATTAATTTTTGTGGTTTATAATGGAAAATGTGATTAAAGATCATAACTTTGTGCAGGGTTTTAGCTCATTGGTGAATTCTTGATCTCACATGCAACTGGATTGATAAAGATGTCCCTCCTTAGTAGATTCTTTTACAAAAGACCCCCAGATGGCTTGCTTGAGTTTGTTGAGAGAGTATATGGTAATGACCCTTATTCTGTAATGTCAAGTTGTAGTTTGCAAATTGTTGTTGTTACTGCATTCTTGTGCATGTGGATGTATTATAATTGCTTACCAAGTATTTTATATGATGCAATTTTTGGCAGTTTTTGATTCATGTTTCTCCACTGAAGTCTTGCCAGAAGAGATGTACCAAATATATTTACATGAAATTGTAAATGAGTTGTATGAAGAATTTCCAGAATCATCATTTCTTGCCTTCAACTTTCGGGAGGGTGAGAAACCGAGTCAGTTTGCAGAAATTTTAAGTGAATATGATGTTACTGTTCTGGATTATCCACGACAATATGAGGGTTGTCCTCTGCTCCCATTATCTTTGATTCAGCATTTTCTCCGTGTTTGTGAAAGTTGGCTGTCACTTGGGAATCATCAGAATGTCATTCTTCTTCATTGTGAAAGAGGAGGATGGCCACTTCTGGCATTTCTTTTATCCAGTTTCTTGATTTTTAGAAAGTTGCATACTGGAGAGCGTAAGACACTTGAAATTGTTCACCGTGAGGCTCCTAAAGGTTTCTTGCAGCTCTTGTCACCTTTAAATCCATTTCCATCTCAACTTCGCTATCTTCAGTATGTAGCAAGAAGGAATATAGCTCCTGAGTGGCCACCTCCTGAGCGGGCTCTTTCTTTGGATTGTGTCATTATTCGAGCCATTCCAAGTTTTGATGCCCAGAATGGGTGTAGGCCAATTATCCGCATTTTTGGTAGGAATCTTCATGGCAAAGGTGGGCTGTCAACCCAAATGCTATTCTCCATGTCCAAGAAGAGGAAGAACATTCGGCATTATTGCCAGGTAAAAATTATTCATTCAGCCATTTCTATCAATTTGAATTTTTGTATTAACTAGTCCTGGTATGGATCTGTTGTTTCAGGCAGACTGTGATGTGATTAAAATTGACATCCAGTGTTTTGTGCAAGGAGATGTTGTACTGGAGTGTGTCCATTTGGACTTGGATCCAGAAAGGGAAGTTATGATGTTTCGTGTAATGTTCAACACTGCATTTATTCGATCTAACATATTGATGCTGAACCCTGAGAACTTGGACATGCTTTGGGATTCCAAGGAGCGGTATCCAAAAGGCTTCCGAGCAGAGGTAAATATATTTTGTGAGTCTCCATTTGCAATATTGGACCTGATAAGAGAAGGGAAGGGAATATGAGAAGATGATGAAAACTGACCATATCAAGCAATTTAGGAACTGAGTCACTAAGATGCATTACCTTTCCGAAATCTAAATGGAGCCAAAACTTAAGTCATGTTTGAAATGTTCCTGCTTTCTATTTCTTTTCCCTTATCTAATTACATAAATTTTCTGATCCCAGGTTTTATTTGGAGAGGTTGACAGTGCTTCCCCTACTCAAGCTCCTACAGCAATTTTAAATGGTGAGGAGAAAGGTGGATTGCCTATTGAAGCCTTTTCTAGGGTTCAAGAACTTTTTAGTGGCATTGACTGGGTTGAGAATGGTGATGATGCTGCCTTGTGGTTTCTTAAACAACTTTCTGTCTTGAGTGATGTAAAAGAATTTTCAAGATTTCAAACTAAAGGATATATGTATGCATCGCCTGCTGATTCTGAGGATGCATCTAGCACTGCTGATAGTTTAGATGAGGCACTTGATGGGATGCATAAACTTTCAGTTGATCCAATGAGATCCATATTACCAGATTTAGTTAATGCATCTCCACCATCTTTTGAGAGCTTCAATGATTCAAACTTTGCCTCAGAAACTCCAGAACAAGCATCAGTTGAAACTATTGAGATAGTCCAAAGTGAAGAAACGCTATCTGATTCATCTCTTCCTATACAACCTTTACCACCTACTCTCTCCTCCACACCACCGCCATCACCACCTCCTCCTCCTCCTCCACTTCCACCATTTATGTTTGGGACTTCTGTACCAAGACCTCCTCCACCGCCCTCATGTCCACCACTATCTGTCAGTGTTAGCAGACCTACACCACCCCCCCCACCTCCACCACCTCCTCTTTCTGGTCTTGCCAATAGGGATTCTATAACACCTCCACTTGCCACTACTAACAAAGTTCCCCCACCACCACCTCCTCCACTTAATGGTTTCTCAAGTAAAAGTACACTGTCTCCAACCAGCAGCAAAGGTCCACCACCACCACCTCCTCCACTTAATGGTTTCTCAAGTAAAAGTACACTGTCTCCAACCAGCAGCAAAGGTCCACCACCACCACCTCCTCCACCACCCCCTTTTAGTACTTCTAGAAACCCCTCACCAACACCACCTCCTCCCCCTCCTACACACACTCAACCATCTTTGTCACCACCCCCACCCCCACCCCCACCACCACCACCTGCAGTGGCAACATCTACCATTGGTGCTTCCCACAGAGCACCATCTCCACCTCTTCCTCCTAGTCGCACCCCCCTACCACCACCACCACCTCCACCTCCTCCACCTCCTGGTCATAACAATGGAAATGCCCCTCTACCCTTACCATCACCAACACTGCCGCCTCCGCCTCCTCTGCCTCCTGGTCGTAGCACTGGAAATGCCCCTCTACCACCACCTCCACCTCCACCTCCACCTCCACTGGGAAACAATGGTAGTGTCCCAAAACCACCAGCACCTCCACCTCCACCTCCTCCAGGACCTACAAGATCAGGTGTTATCCCACCATCAGCACCTAAGGCTCCTGCTGCTCCCCCTCCACCACCAGCCAGTGGCAGAACTGCAGCTCCACCCCCCCCACCAGGAGTAAAGGTGTCTACTGTGCCCCCACCACCACCTCCATCTGTCGGAAAAGGAAAAACTCTTGGACCAACAAGTCATGGAAGAGGTCGAGGTGTCAGTGGAGTTAACAGTGGCCCCAAGAAAACCTCATTGAAGCCCTTACATTGGGTGAAAGTCAGTCGAGCAGTGCAAGGGAGTTTATGGGCTGATTCGCAAAAGCAGGACAATCAGTCAAGGTGTGTGTATAGATGGATGTGTTCTAAGGCACATGATATAATTATCATGTGTTCTGTTTTGCTCATGATTTGTGCTGTTTTTTTGTTCTTCCTTCTCAGATTTTTTTTGTTTTCAATTGTAATTCTTTGCTCTCTGACCTAAAAGTTGAGGTTCAAACCCTGTTGTTGGGTGATTTTTGGCAGGGCCCCTGAAATAGATATGTCAGAACTGGAAAGTCTGTTCTCAGCAGCCTCTACTTCAGATGGGAGTGGAACTAACAGAGTTGGAGGTCGACGTGGTTCTAATATCAACAAACCTGAAAAAGTGCAGTTGGTATTGTTTCATTCTGTTATTCCTCCCATTTTTGGATTTGATTTTTGAAAGCAAGAATATTCAATGACTCCCTATGGCAAGCAAAATTTGACTGCTCCAAACAACCAAACTGCAATTGTTCTATTATGAAAAATTAAAATTGTAAAATAAAATTTTTTCTTTGTAAAATAAAATAACTACCAAACTCCCAAAACTGCCATTGTTCTATTACCAAACTACCAAACTGCCATTATTTTCCTGTTTATCTTTATATTTGCCCCTTCTTGCTGGATTAACCCTGTATTAAATACTCTTTCTGCTCCTGTTTGCTATGACAAGTTTTCCTTCTATGTGGTTTCAACTTTCAAAATGAATTCAGTTTTCTGATCTAAGTTTATATTTATGGTTGTTTTTACCATCTCAGGTTGACTTGCGCAGAGCATATAATTGTGAAATAATGCTCTCAAAAATTAAAGTTCCTCTTCCAGATATGATTGTAAGTTTGTGATTGCTTACCTTTCCGCCTCCCATCTGTATGTTGGCTTTTAGTTATCTGGATGTAGCATTGGGAACATAAATCTCCATTGATTGAAGGCAATATATTAACAATCCCATCTTTTGTGCTTACCCTGTTAATTTGTATTAGTTCAGTTTGTAACAATCTATCCTCATCTTGAGGGTATTTTATTTTGTGATATGATAAGAGATTTCTAAAGTGAATCCAATTATATTGTTGTCTGACCGAGGGTAATTCCTGCCTGCTACATTACTTTTTCCTAAAAGAACTAGGTTTGCTGCTTAGCATGTACTTACTGTTTAATGGATTGGCCTGTTAGACCTTTGGGAGAGGGAATAGCTACAGTTGTCTTTATGCAACCCACATATGGGAGATCATCTAACAACTGATTGTTCTCATTGTGGTTCCTCCTGTATGCATTTCTTAATGATCTGTCATGACATTGTCAAGTGATGGATTTTGATAGTACTTTTTGATCTTTTACTCCCAAAATGTTTCTGTTATTGAGTCTCACTTGTCTTGCCAAGGTGTACTTACTTTTTGCTATGTTGCTCATGAGTTTTTGTTTTTCTTTTAGTTGTGAAGTTTATATTCCTGACAATAGTCACTTGTGTTACCAGAATGCAGTTTTAGCTTTGGATTCATCTTGTCTGGACATTGATCAGGTTGAGAATCTGATTAAATTTTGTCCCACCAAAGAAGAAATGGAAATGTTGAAGGTAATCTATGCAACTTCCGCCACTATGCTGCAAAGACACCATTTGCTGCCTTTTGAAAGTTTCTAACTAGTAGATTTTACCATTTTCAGAATTACACAGGTAACAAGGAAATGCTTGGGAAGTGTGAACAGGTTCATTTTGATTTCTCATCTTTAATGCATGCACCCTGCTAATTTGGTTTCTGATAAATATTGTGATTGGTATCTTCCAGTTTTTCCTGGAGTTGATGAAGGTTCCACGCGTGGAATCAAAATTACGAGTATTTGCCTTTAGAATCACCTTTTCCAGTCAGGTATTTTTAGAGGGTTGTATATTTGATGTCTTATGCTGGTATTTTGGAGGAGATTTTGTGCTTAACTATTATGTTTTTCTTCAGGTTGATGACTTAAGATCTAATCTAAACACAATTAATAATGCGACTAAAGAGGTACATTATTTTTAAGCTCAGAATATCATGAAATAAAATTGCTCTCCCTGCATTTAAGATGTCAAGTACATGCTTTCAGGTCAAAGAGTCTGTTAAGTTGCGTCAGATAATGCAGACAATTCTTACTTTGGGAAATGCTCTGAATCAGGGCACTGCACGAGGTAAAGTTCTTCAGTTGGTCTTGACTAGTAATCTGCCAAAATTTGGTTTTCTTACACTTTTCATTTTGTTCCCCCCCACACCTCCCCCTTTTTTTTCTGTAGGATCTGCTGTGGGATTCAAATTGGACAGCCTTCTTAAATTGTCTGATACTCGTGCAAGAAACAACAAAATGACTTTGATGCATTACCTTTGCAAGGTAATCTGATTTTCCAATGGTAGTGGTTGCTGGTTTAATGATTGTTTTGCATAGCATTCTATAAATAAATGTAGTGTGCAATCTAGTTTAATAACCATTTTAGGCTATTCTATATTCCTTTCCTTCTCTCTTGTTTTCTTATCTATTAACTTCCGAGGTTGTAAGTTGCCAAAGTTGATGATTCCCATTTCATGTTTTGAGTAATGTCGTTTGTCATCATTGTTTAGATGCATTTTAGTTTGTCCAGTGGATGCAAATTCTTTTCTCTGGAACTTTAATATGGTGCTTCAATTTTTAATTTGCTTGGTTTAGCTTCTTGCTGAGAAAATGCCAGAACTGCTGGATTTTGATAAGGATCTTATTCATTTGGAAGCTGCCTCAAAGGTATGCCTTTTCAATTGCAAGTACTCATTGTTTCCCTTGTTAAAAGGAGTTAACATGCAGAGATTTACTACTCTCTATCTTCATGGCTTTCATGTGTATGGAAAGATTCAATTAAAAACTCTTGCTGAAGAAATGCAAGCTGTGAGTAAAGGTCTTGAGAAAGTTGAACAAGAACTTTCTGCTTCTGAAAATGATGGTGCTGTTTCTCTGGGTTTTCAAAAGGTGAGAAATGATGTATCTGTTTGTGGGGTCAATTAGCTTGCTTTCCTGTGTTCCACACGTATATCCCTCAATGATGGGTAGCTGAGATGTGACAAACAATTGATGACCATTAAAATTCACTTAGCAAGCATTTAACAATGTTATTTTGGTGTTCCAGGTGTTGAAGAATTTTCTTGATACTGCTGAAGCTGAAGTAAGATCACTAATCTCCTTATATTCTGAAGTGGTGAGTACCGTTGCAGATTTCTGGTGGTTTATAGTTCTCAATTTACAGCCTGGTTGCTGACTGGTTACACTCCCATGGTATTTTTTTACAGGGCAGAAACGCAGATTCATTGTCTCAGTACTTTGGGGAGGATCCAGCCCGATGTCCTTTTGAGCAAGGTCAGATAGTCTTATGATAGTTTGTTTTATTTTGAACATGTTGTGTTCCATTCTCTATGCATCAATGCTACTACTACCATACCAGCTTCTATTTTCACATTTTTGCAAGGAACTTGCAATTTATCGTTGCCATGGAATGAAATGTTCATTGCTTCAGTCATTTATTGATTTACCTTCTTATATATAAAACTTAAAAAATTTAGAAGTCTAAACAGTGCTCAAAACACTGCTGATGTATTGGGAAAAAAATAAGAACAGGGATTAGCAAAATCAGGGTATAATAGGAACTTTATTGATTTTATGAACATTATAAGAATATTTTACCCCCATTGTTTATTGTGATCAACTATTGTTACTATACATGCTTTTATTGCTCTGTGATAATCAAAAATCAATGTACTTGTTTATAATTGCAGTTACACAGATCTTGGCTGTTTTTGTCAAGATGTTTAAAAAAGCACGGGAGGAAAATGAAAGGCAGGCTGATGCTGAGAAAAAGAAATTAGAGAAGGAAGCCATGAAAGATAAGGCAGTAGTTTACTCCTCTGCAAAGAAAGACGGTGCTGATTTTGATGAACCAACTCTTCTTTCTCACATCCAGAGAAACGTTCGCCAAGCAAATTGATGGAAATTCCAGTTGAAGCTACACGTATGGCTTTTAGACTACTGGAGGCAGATCTTGAGGTTCTGTTTTACATTTCCACATATAATTTGGGCAGCGGGGATTACTTGAGCGGTTGCTTATGCATGCTAACTGCACTTAATCTACGGTCAGAGACTCAGAATACTACTGCTTGTCCGAAACACAGATGTAGGAACAACTGTGTTTCCGTGTACATGGCTTGTGCAGAATGAGGAAGTAGCAGCAATACTGTT